ATATATATATATATATATATATATATATATATATATGGAAAGAGGAGTTGTGTCTGTGGCAAGCAGCACAGAACAGAGAGGAGAGCAGGGGAAAGTGAATAACTTCTCTCTATATATTTATATGGACCAATGTGGAAGACACAAAGACTTGTACTCATGTTAGTTGCCCTCCCAGCACGTGCATGATCTCTTCTGCTGCCCTCGGGTTCCGTGATGTTCCCTTCCCAGCCCTCAGTCGCTGACTCAGCTGCTCTCCCATAGTTGGTTATTTTTTATTTGGGGCTTTAGCCATGTATAGGGAGGGGAGGGTGTTCTTTCCAACCTCAGGTCCCAACTGTCTTCACATTGTTAACTCCATGTGCCCTCCTCCAATAAAACTAGCTAGTTGGGTGTGGTTATTTTATATATATAAAATAAAGATTGAATGAGATACAATGAATATATATAGGAGTAGGATTGCTGGGTCAAGGGTAAGACCTTATACTCTTAACCACTACACATTTCAGCTAGCTTTAGTCTCTACTATTATTATTATTTTTTTGTTGTTTATTTATTTTTGAGAGAGAGAGTGCAAGCGGGGGAGGGGCAGAGAGAGATGGAGATAGAGGATCCAAAGCAGGTTCTGTGCTAACAGCAATGAGCCAGATACGGGGCTTGAACTCATGAGCCATGAGATCATGACCTCAGCCAAAGTGGGACACTCAATTGAGTGTCCACCCAGGCACCCCTCTACTATTATTCATTAATAATATTACAACACCAATACTCACTTCTACCTATTATGTGTCTCTGTTGCAAAGCCCTTTACTTTTATTATCACAAATCCTCACCTCAATCCACTAACACAGGAATGATTATCCCTGTTGTACAGGTGAGAGAAATGGGTTCACAGAAGTGAGATAATTGGTCTACACTCAGTGAACTCAAGTGGAGCTGGGAACACAACTCACATCTGCCTGTTTTCTGTGCCCTCTGTGACTGATATCACGTCCTGAGCCTGGCCCACAGCTTACAAAACATGCCTTTTCCCCTCCTTTCGGGCCTTTTCTGGAAGTTAGGCTGGCCCGAAATCCCAAGGGAAAGAACTGCACACTCATTCCCCTGCTCTTTTCCCCAGCTGGGGCTGAAGACCAGGGGAGGGGCTTCCCTGGGACCTGGAAATAAAATGGAGGGAGGGCTGGGCTGGGCCAGGCAGTGTCTTAAGGAAGTAAGGAAGCTGTGAGGGGGGAGGTAAGTTTTTGGGGTCTTTATGGGGCAGCTCCTGGAGAGCAGGTGAAGTGAACTTGGCAGAGTTTGGCTTTGGACGGGGAGTGAGGAGTGAGGCTGAAGCAAATGGACTTGGGTAGTGCTAGTTGGGGGGTTCACAGATAGGGCTGGCCTAGAGAATCCCCAAGTTGTCAGAAGGAATGACTGATTTTATCTGACTGGGGAGGGGGCTCTTTGTTCCATGACCACTCCTTAAGCCCCTTGCACTGTGTCAGGCCCTCTCTGAGCTTGGAATAGAGAGAACATCTCAGGGAGAGTCACCCAAGGATCAGTGGGGGTAAGGCAGAAATAGACAATGAGGCACACTTGACTAGGAAGTAGGAAGGGCAAGATGAAGAGGGGACTGTGTGAGCCATCTAAAATGGCTTTCCAAAGAGTGGAATATAGGGAAATTGGGGTTTCAAGGTTGCATATGTTTAGCCCTGGGCCAAAGGAGTATGTTGCAGGTGGAGGGAGCTGTCTCCACAGACAGTTGGAGCTTGAAAGAGCTGAAGCAGAGAGGTTTAGGAGAGAAAGTGTCAGGTGAGCCCAGGGCTATCAGATAGCTGGATCTCTACTGTGCAGTCTGGTTGCCAGTAGCTATAAGCCACAGTGGCTATTTCAATTTAAATTAGTTAACATTAACTAAAGTTAAAAATCTAGCTCCTCATTTGTACTGGCCACATTTCCAGTGCTCAATAGCCACATGAAGCTCGCAGCTCTGGGACTGGGGAGAAAGGATATAGAACACATCTATCATCCATCGTCACAGAAAATCCCTCTGGCCAATGGAAAGCCTCAGGAGGGGTTCAAGGACACATGAAAGAGAGAGCGGGCTTAGACTGGGCTGCCTGGCCTGTGTGAGCCTAGCCTGTGAGGTCTCTGGACTGTAGGTGAGGAAATAATCCCCAGAAGATGGAGGTGGTGTGACTCACCTCCTGCCAGCGTAGCATGAACTCTGCTCCCAGGGGCAGGAACTAACCAGATAGGGCCTCTTCAGACCCAATTGGGGATCCCTGATCAGTGTGACCAGAGCCAGGGTCGGAGAAACATGGAGTGAGTAGTCCTGGGGAGAAAGGAGGAGCTGCCGAGTGGGGCCGAGCCTGGGTCCAGAGGGGCTTTCCAGTTTGGTTCCAGTTGGCAAGCATGGGATTGGACAGGAGGGCTGGGAAGGCATGTGTGAGTTGAGAGGAGAGACCAGAGTGGAGGTTCACTGGATGGAGGTGAGGCTGCACTGTGTTGAATGATGAAAGGGACCTTCTGTTCCCACCCTAACTAGCTTTTCTATTTCGTTCTCAGGCCCAACACTATCCAGGTGACAAGGATGGAATATGCCATGAAGTCCCTCAGCCTTCTCTACCCCAAGTCCTTCTCCAGGTGAGGAGAGCCAAGGGTAGAAACAAAGGGGAGCTACCTGTGAGCTATAAGGCAGACCTTCTCAAACTTCAACAAGCTTCTAAGTCACCAGGGCATCTTGTTAAAATGTAGATATTGATTTAGGAGGTCTGGAGTAGGACCCAGATTTTGTACTTTTGACAAGCCCTCAGGTGACTTTAAGGTTGGTATCCTCTCCCCACACTGCTACCACATATTGAGTAGAAAAAGGTAGACACTGTGCTTGGACCTTCATTCTTGATCTCATTTAAACCTCATCACAACTTTGGGAAGTGGGGATTATTACACCAAATTAATAGATGGGGACACTGAGGCACAGAACGGGTGCTCTTCATCACCTAACAAATGGGTAGTAGAACCAAGATTCAAACTTGGGTCTGACTCCAAAACCAAGGTTCCCCCTCTACTCTTCTGGTTCTACGTCATGTATATCAGAATTCAAAACTATCTTACATTGACCTCAGCTTTGCCACTTCATTTCACTTTACGGGTGGGAAGAAAGAGGCCAAGAGAGGAAAGTTGGTATTGGGGAACGTGGGATGGGTCTCCTATCACCTTGCTACTCATCATGGTCAGTGTCAACCAACAGCATCAATGCCACTCCGAAACTTATTAGACATATAAAATCCCAGCTTCCACCCGGACCTCCTGAATCAGAATCAGGTCTCCTGAGGACTTAATATGATCACTGAAGTTTGAGATGCATTGATCTAACAGGACTTTTAGTGATACCGGTAAGTCTTAGAGCAAGCCTGGTGGGTGATAGAGGAAGAAGAATATGATGAGCTCAACCTACAGGGGTAGGGGAGTGAGTTCCCTGAGAGGGGTGAGGGCTGGGAGGCAGCAGGCTGCTCATTCTGATGCTCCAAATTGCCCGCAGGCATGTGGCAGTTAGCACCTGCACCTCAATGGTGACCCAGCAGCTACTGACCGAGTCCAGCCTGGAGGCCCCCAAGGCCCGGCCCTGCAGAGTAAGCACTGCTGACCGGAGTGTGCGGAAGGGCATCATGGCGCACAGTCTCAAGGACCTCCTCCACAAGGTGAGGGACAGGACTACCCTCAGCACAGCCCAACCACTGGGACTGTGGCTGAGAGCTGGCCCTGCTGGCTTCCTCTGTCCTCTGAGTCATGAGTTGGGACTTCAGCAGGGATAGAGTTCATAGGTTAGATGGTGAGAAGATTTCCTTTCTGATGCCCACTCTAATGAGTTGGTAGTGCCTGCCTGGAGTGCTGTCCAATGGATTAATGATGTCTGTCTGGTGACAAGGGGAGGGCAGTATACTGCAGCAGAATACCTATAGGATTGCCATCCTATATCTACAACAGTAGATCAGTGGAATTTTCAGAGCATATTTTTCTTTTTTTTTTATTAAAAAATTTTTTTTTCAACATTTATTTATTTTTGGGACAGAGAGAGACAGAGCATGAACGGGGGAGGGGCAGAGAGAAAGGGAGACACAGAATTGGAAACAGGCTCCAGGCTCTGAGCCATCAGCCCAGAGCCTGACGCGGGGCTCGAACTCACGGACCGCGAGATCGCGACCTGGCTGAAGTCGGACGCTTAACCGACTGCGCCACCCAGGCACCCCTTTTTTTTTTTTATTTTTTAATGTTTATTTACGTTTTGAGATAGAGTGCGTGCAAGCTGGCAAGGGGCAGAGAGGGAGGGAGAGAGAAATCCCAAGCAGACTCCACACTGTCAGTGCAGAGCCCAACATGGGGCCGAACTCACAAACTGTGAGATCATGACCTGAGCTGAAACCAAGAGTTGGAGCCACCAGGCGCCCCTGAGGCATATTTTTCTTACTGGAAAGACCCTTAGGTTCTCTTTTCCATTGTACACATGCCTGGAAGTTGGGGAAATAGGTAAGATTTTAGAGATTCTCTTCCCCATTTCCTCCCTTCAGCCAGGGCAGTTCTTCCATCCATCTCCTACACTGGCTTTCCATGGCAGGCTTTGTTAACCGCTGTGGAAGACTCTTCAAACTATTGATCAGGTAAGCTTCTAGAGCAGGAAACAAAAGACACACAGCTCTCGTGGATGGTAGTAACAGCCGCCAAGAATGACACCCTTCCCTGTTTCCATGTTCCCTCTCTACTAGGCTGGGGATAACTTCTCCCCAGCCTCTCCTATAGCCTCATCTAATCTTGCTCTTTATTAGTCTTGTGCCTCACTGCCTCATTAGCTTATGCACTCTAGGGGATGTCCCAGTTGCCTGGCACAGATTACACATTTGGATTAGGCTTCTGATTACTACAGTCTGTTTAACATATAGAAATCATAGCTTACCTAAGCCTCTATTCTGGAGTCTCTCCCCTGTTTCTGTGAATTAGGTCTGTTCTTCTTCATGGGAGCCAATCTCCCCTCTCTTGTGAGGCTTGTGGCTGTGACACACCAATTTTTTATGCCCTGAATCAAAAGGACTTTTTCACACTTGAGTCTAGACTTGGTAGTGTTTTTTCACCTGAGGGCTGGGGACCACTTCCTGTGCTAAAATGGACTTGTCACACATGGCTTCCCAGAATGCACGCCCTGGGACTGATTAGGTCATGAGTGAAGCTGAGGAGTTGTCATTTTAAGCAGTTGTTTCAGGAGAGTCTTATAGCCACTGAGTTTGGGGACCCCAAGTCAGAATCCTAACTCCAAAGGATGCAAGGAGAAACAAGAGTGAGGGTCCATCTTTCCAAGATGGAACACAGGTCAGAAGTGAATCTTACTAATGGAGCAGGGAGGACATCAGCCTATCTGGACTGCTTTTCCAAGTTTGGCAATACAAAGAAAGGAGCAGAGAGTGAGGGAAAGAGGGTGAGGTGATATGGTTGGCAGTGACCAGAGTATAAGTCCCTTATTGGCCATGGAAAAGAACAGAGGGATTTCATTTTAAAAGATAACAAGGGGCGCCTGGGTGGCGCAGTCGGTTAAGCGTCCGACTTCAGCCAGGTCACGATCTCGCGGTCCGTGAGTTCAAGCCCTGCGTCGGGCTCTGGGCTGATGGCTCAGAGCCTGGAGCCTGTTTCCGATTCTGTGTCTCCCTCTCTCTCTGCCCCTCCCCCGTTCATGCTCTGTCTCTTTCTGTCCCAAAAATAAATAAACGTTGGAAAAAAAAAATTAAAAGATAACAATAAGCCTTTGAAAGATTTTTAATTTATTACTATTATTTTTTTAATGTTTATTTATTTTTGAGAGAGAGAGAGGAGGGGCAGAGAAAGAGGGGGATAGAGCATCCAAAGCAGGCTCAGCACTGACAGCAGAGAGCCGGATGAGGGGTTCAAACTCATGAACTGTGAGATCATGACTGGAGCCGAAATCAAGATTCAGACACTCAGCCGACTGAGCCACCCAGGTTCCCCTCAAAATTAATTTTAAAAAATCTTCCAAAGGGGCACCTGGGTGGCTCAGTCAGTTGAGCGTCCAATCTTGATTTCGGCTCAGGTCAGGATCTCACTGAAGACTTAATGTTAAGATGGCAATACTTCCCAAATTGATCTGCAGATTCAGTGCAATCCCCATCAAATTCCAGCTACTCTTTTTACAGATATTGACAAGCTTATCCTAAAATTTACATAGAATTATTTCTATGAGCCAGAACCAAAATAGCTAAAACAATCTTGGAAAAAGACAAACTTGGAAGACTCACACTTCCTGATTCCAAAACTTACTACAAAGCTACAGTAATCAACTCTGTGGTATTGACATAAGGAAAGACAGTCTATTAGTTTTCTAGGGCTTCCATAGCAAAGTATCACAGACTGATACTTAACAGAAATTTATTTTCTCTCAAATCTGGAGGCTGGAAGTCTGAGATCAAGGTGCTGTCAGGGTTGGTTTATTCTAAGGCCTCTGTTCTTGACTTATAGATGGCTGCCTTCATGTTTACATGGTCTTTCTCTGAGTATGTCTCTGTATCCTAAACTCCCCTTCTTATAAGAATACCAGTAATATTGGGTTAGGGCCCATCTTAATGACATCATTTTAATTACCTCTTTAAAGACTCTATCTACAAAGACAGCCAGATTCTGAGGTACTGCGACTTAGGATTTCAATATGTGAATTTGGGAGCTCATAATACATACAAATCAATAGAATGGAATTGAAACTCCAGAAATAAGCCCATGTATCAATGGACAATTGATTTTTTGACAGAAGAAAGAATAGTCTTTTCAATAAATAGTGCTAGGACAATGGAATATCCACATGCAAAATAATGAAGTTGCATCCCTACCTCATGCCATGAACAAAATTAAGTCAAAATATATCAAAGAGTTAAAACTATAAAACTCTTAGAACTAAACAGGTGTAAGTCTTCATGACTGGTTTCTTAGATAAGGCATCGAAGCACAAGCAATCAGAGGAAAAAAATCAATCTTTATCAACATTAAACACTTCCATGTATCAATATGTGTTATTAACAAAATTAAAAGACAACCTACAGAATGGGAGAAAATATTTGCAAATCTCATATATGATAAGGATCTAATATCAAGAATACATAAAGAACTTCTATAACTCAACAATAAAAATATAACCCAATTAAAAATTGGCCAAAAAAACAGGGTGCCTGGGTGGCTCAGTTGGTAAAGCATCCAACTTAGGCTCAGGTCATGATCTTGCGGTTTGTGAGTTCAAGCCCCGCGTCGGGCTCTGTGCTGATGGCTCAGAGCCTGGAACCTGTTTCGAATTCTGTGTCTCCCCCTCTTTCTGCCCCTCCCATGTTCATGCTCTGTCTCTCAATAATAAATAAACGTTAAAAATTTTTAATAAAAAAATTGGCCAAAAAAAATGGAATAGACTTTTCTCTGAGAAAATATATAAATGGGGCACATGGGTGGCTCAGTCAGTTAAGCGTCTGACTCTTGATTTCAGCTCAGGTCATGATCTCACAATTCGTGAGTTAGAGCCTCATGTCAGGCTCTGCACTGACAGCACAGAGCCTTTTTGGGATCCTCTCTCTCTACCTCTCCTCTCTCTCTCTCTCAAATATAAACATTAAAAAATTAAAGATAATATATAAATGGCTAATGACATATGAAAAGATGTCCAACATCATTAGTCATTAGGGAAATTCAAATCAAATCTGCTTCATACCCACTAGAACGGCTAAAATAATGGACAGACACTCCCTCTCTCTCTGCCCCTCCCCTGCTCATACTCTCTCTCTCTCTCAAAAATAAATAAACATTAAATAAATAAATAAATAAATAAATAAATAAAGGACAGACAATAACAAGTACCAATGAAGATGTGAAGAAATTGGAATCTTCACACATTGCTAGTGGGAATATAAACTGATATAGCTGCTTTGGAAAATAGTTTTGCAGCTCCTCAAAAAGTTAAACATACAGTTAATTGTGTGACTCAGCATTTCCAGTCCTAGGTATATACCCAGGAAAACTGAAAACATATGTTCACTTGCAAACCCGTACATGAATACTCATAACAGCAGTATTCATAATACTCAAAAAATGGAAACAACCCAAATGTCTATGTTAACTGATGAATGGATTAAAAATGAGATATACCTATATAGTAGAATATAATTTGGCCAGAAAAAGAAATGAATCATGTTACAACATAGATGAACCTTGAAAACATACTGAGGAAAAGAAGCTAGTCTAAAAAGACCACATATTATATATGATTCCATTTATATGAAATGTCCAGAATAGGCAAATCCATAGAGACAGACAGTAGAGGTTGTCATGGGCTGGGGGATGGGGAATGACTGCTAATGGGTACTGGGTTTCTTTTGGGGTGATGAAAATGTTCTGAAATCAGATAGTAGTGATGGTTGTACAACTTGGTGAATATTCTAAAACACAATGAATTGTATACTTTTTAAGTTTACTCATTTATTATTTTGAGAGAGAGAGCATGAGTGGGGGAGAGGCAGAGAGAGAGGGAGAGAGAGAGAATCCCAAGCAGGCTCCACACCATCAGCACAGAGCCTGATGTGGGGCTTGTAACCACAAACCACAAGATCAGGACCCCAGCTGAAACCAAGATTCTGAGGCTTAGCCGACTGAGCCACCCAAGCACCCCAT